GTAAAGCCTACGTTACGTAAAATGATTAAGTAAAATCACATAACATTAAGTACTATGTTCCGTTCGCTCTTTCTCGATGTAAGTTAAAGATGGAAGTCGATGGACAGGTAAGAGAGAAGCTGATGCAAGATGAAGGAGGGATTAAACTGAGAAAGCAAATTTTTTGATGGTTCTTCTTTCATAGTTAATCATATCAAGCTTAATTTCAACCAAGGAAATGAATCAATCGTGTTTTCATTCCATTACTGCTCACATTTCAGGCTTTGAATCAGAACAGTCCGAGATAGAGGCAAAAACGTTCTTTACCACACACCTGAGCATGAAAAAGAACCACAATTTAGGGTTAGGGTTAGACGCTTGTAATTAAGCTTCTATTGATTACGACCCAAATCATCAGAGGCTCATTTTTCACATTAAACTACACGATACGTCATTGGACCTAATGTAAGTCTAATGCTGTGTGTGAGAACAGGCATCTAGACAAAAAATTGCAAGTCTCATTTACGAGCAAGCAATCAATGTCCTTGATGCCACTCTACATCAAGGATGAACCAATCAATAGCCACGATAGTAAGTCTCACAGGCAGAAACACATGACTCATAGGCTCGATTTACAAAAAAAAAACAAGAACAGAAAAACTTTTTAAAAAAAGAGTCAAAAGACTTTGCTCCCTCAAGTTTTACCCCTCCTCATCTTGCATCGACCCCCCTCTGACCTATTCAACGACTCCCACTCTTAATTTACATCAACAAAGGCTGACGAAATTTAAAACTCAATGCAATGCGTTTTTAAGTAATCATTTCACGTATTGCAAGCATTACGTACGCAATTGCAGGAAGTCAAATGGCTGGTTTCATTAAAGAAAAGGAATTTGAAAATCTGAATGTGTTTCAGATGACGTAGATCAATTAAGTTAAAGTGGCCCTTGAATGTCCTATTTATCAGTATACTTAGCTTTTTCTTCGTTGTCACTAGCCTCTTGCTTCTTTAATTGTGTCCTGGTTCCTTCAAGCTTCATCAATCTCACTTTCATTCAATTTTACAGCTTCTTGAATTTAATTTTCTTAACTTTCAATGTTCACTCAGAAAATTTTTCATTTTTTTCTTCACTTTTAATTTTTTCATCACTTTTGGCTTATTTTCACTGTTGTTTCCATTTTAGCACTTCACTGTCACTTTTATCTTGAACTCCACTTCTTTTTAAGCATTAATAATGTCAAGTTCCAATTTATTTGCACCGATTTGCAACAATATTTAAAAACACGTCTTTAAAGAATTAAACTGAAGAAAATTGTGAAAAAACCGAAAGTCAAAGGTTGCTGAGAAATTTGATCTTTTTTGACTGATTGTAGTTTCACATTTTCTGTCGTTAATTAAGGGTGTATTCAGCTCCTATTCATGTCAATTTCAATCGTTTGTTTACATTTATTTACAATTGAGCATTTTTAACGGATATTTTGAATTTAATTATCTTGTTTCGGAAAAATTTTTGAAAAAAAACGGTATTTCTTCATGTTCCATTAAATAGCTTATGGGCAATTCCATGAAACGATTTATCTACAAATTTTTCTCCAAATTGATTTTTTACATCTTTAGACTGTTCTACTGCAAATAAGCTTTTCGTAGGCCATTTAAAACATCATTTTCTACTTAATGGACTGAAAAGTGGTTAATTAAAGAATTATTTCAATTCTTTTGGCGTTACTTAGTAACACAATCGAGTAATGAGTAAAACATTAAGAAAATAAGAGTACAAAGAAATATTTGAAAATTAATATTTCATACTTAATAGACTTGGATCAAACTTAAATGTAAACAATGAAACTTCAAGGAAAATACAAAATAAAAAAAAAACTAATTTGAATTGTCGGTTTTTTTTTTTGTATGAAAACGGGAATTTCGGGAATATTCCCGACAGATTTTCGGGAAACGGGAACAGGAAAAGGATTCCCCCAATGTTAGCAAAGAGAACAGAGTCCGTTACAAACAAAAAAATTTCAAAATTTTCGTGCGGTATTTTTTTAAAATTTCAAAATAAGAAAGTCCGTTACTTTTTATTTTTTTTTAAACCAGCTGTTTTTTAAAGCATAAACATTTAAGGAATGCAATTTCATCGCAATGATTATCTTAATCATAAAAACTAGTAGGAATGTTCACTAAAATTACAAATTACTCGAAAAATAATAATTCACAACGAATTTTTTTAAAAATAAGAACTTCGAAGATTCGATTTTCGACAAATAAGAACCTTAAAAATTCGAAGTTCGAATAATAAGAACTCAAAAATTTCTGTTTGCTAGCATTGGGGATTCCCGTTCCCGGGAATTCCCGGGAATATTCCCGATTTTAGAACCCCTAGAAGACATACCATTAAAGTTTCCGGTTCTATAGAACATGTATTGGCCCGTCGAATGAAAAACACATCTTTGATATTAAAATACTGCAACTTTCGTGCTTTCAAGAAATTCATATGTAGATCCTTCACATTATCTGTTCCATAATGAGTTCCGCATTTCCAAAATTTAGCCTTATCAAATAATTGGTATAGTGAATTTAATTTTTCAAAACTTAAAGTGAAAATTTTTTTTCATAGGTTTCTGGATTTTGTTTTTCATTAAGAAAATTTTATGAACTTTTTCCATTCACCAATTAAAATCTATTTTTTCAGAAAGGAATTGCCACATTTTAAATTTTGGGTATGAATTTTGCATGACTGAAAAAAATCGGAGTCTGTCTGTGATGAAATTTAAATTTTTCGCAAATTCTTGTTTGTGGACGTAACGCACAAAGTTATGATGTTTTGACATTTATGATGCCTTAATAAGAGATATTTCTTCTAGTAAATAAACCAAATCAATCTTTAGCTTGAAGAGTATTAAAAAGAAGCAAATAAAGCATAACGTTCACGATTTCCATTCATAAATGATTTAATTGGATTTTTAAGCATCATTATTATCATCATTATTGTCTGATGATTCTGTAACGTAATCGGCTGTAAAACAATGAAACATAGAGTTACAGATCTTTCGCTCCAGAGGAAATTGATATCAAATTTTTTTATTTATTCTCTATCATCTGTTCAATATTAAAGGATGTCTACATTTATCTCCTTTTTAAAGGATTGAATCGGAACAAAATTGTTCTCGGTTATCGATGTCGGAAGCACCGCTGATTTTTTTTTTATCATCCTCAGTATTTAAATGAAGTAGAGATTTAATTTTATATTTTTTTTATCTCGTTCTGAAAATGTGTTATATTCGTGGACATGACAATTTAAACTGTGGTATTACTTTCTGCTTGACCTAAAGATGATTCAGTTTAAAGGATGACATGTTCTTTGTTAATTTTGGCAAGAATGATAGATGGAATGTATAATTAATTAAAATCATCGCATCAGGATCAATGATCGATTCGTAATAATGTTTGCTTGTTCTCTTTCGTTTCTTGCTGATCATCTTGTTATCAAGTATCGTGAAATTGATCTTTTCAAATCCTTTATCGACTTTGACAATTAGTTTCATCAAGTCATTTTGACACAAATGCAAATGTGTAGAGAATAGTTGAGAATTGATAGCTGAAATTGAGCAGTTTGACAGCATTCAACTAATATTTCAAGTAATTTATAACTCTGATTGCTAGAAAATAGTTGAAACATATTCATCTTTATGCAAACCAGTCCTTAATCAGACGTTGTCGTCTCTTGAACATGTTTAACAACATCCCATGAGCAATTTCATTAGTTGAAGCGGGTTGAAGTATTTAAATTTGACATACAAACACGGCATCATTTTCAAATTTCCTGATAGGAGAGCGCTAAAAAGTTAAGTTTAACTTCCTTAAAAACTTATTACTGTAACTTAATACACACATTTCTTCATACTTGCACTTAAAATTCACTTCTGGAATGTGCATATATTTTTTTTTATTCTTAGAATAATCGAATAAAGAAAGAGAGAGAAAATTTCCGTTCAATGATTTATCGATATACTAGTTGCAATTATTTCTAGCACCAATGGAGTCTTATCTGGCAGTAAAACATTGTCTTTGCAAATTAAGCCGATTTATGCTTAGGGTACTTTATGTATACACAAATATATGTATAAATATTTTTTTCATAGAAAATGTTGTTGTTGGTATTTTTTGAAGAACCTACAGAAGGAGAAGTAAGTAAGGTGATCATCGTAAGGACCAAAAGGAAATACGACGCATTTTAAGTTTAAAAAAAAAATTGAGGAATTTTCCTTAACACCATTGAAGTAGATTTGGTTAGCTCAGCTGAGTTCTTAAAAAAAGCTCTGATTGATGCTACTTATTCACTAACATACTCGGTTTAATTGAACATTCCATCAAAAATATGCAACTTGTTTAGGAATATCCGCTTAAAACGTATTTTATATCTGCGGGACACATTGATAAAGTACCAACAGCAATAACTCACATCAGAATAATGCTCGTACACAAAAAAGTAAGAAGAAACATAATGCATGAAAGAAATTATAACGAATGCTGTTTTTATGGGGGAAACATATGCAATAAATAATTTTTATAGGATTTTTGTAAAGTTGTGAGAAGCATAAAACTTGTATTGTTTAAAAGAATAGATCAATTTATTTTTTTTTAACTTCTCCTTCAAGTCGTGCCTCTATTGTTCATATAGTATCATTGATATCAAATATATGCTGTGTAGAATTTTCATTCAACTTTTTTTTTTAATGATGTCGCTTTGCTATTTTTCTTCTTATTATTAAAATTATTGTTGTTTATTTAAAGCTTTTACTTTCATGTTTTTTTTTCGCTTTTGTCTATTTTTCATGTGTCGGAATCTTTGAGTTAAGAAGTTTCTTCTGCATACATGTTCTCATCTCTCTCATGTATGTGAAAAATATTCTTTGATCTTTTCTTACTCTACCTGCTATGAATCAAAACAAATCTTAAAGAATTCATTTTATGGTAAGTTTTGCATTATAAATTAGGGGAGTCTTAAACAATTCTCAGCCATTAACAATCTGAATGTTGTTCGAGAGAATTTATTGAGAAATATTGGCATTGAATTATATTGAGAATGAATTATTCAAATTACTTTCAGTTTTATAATGAATTTTTGTATCAACAACATAAATCGTTCCTAGAAAGAGTACAGAAATGTGAGATTGAAGAGAATAAGAACATCGAAGAACATTGTAAACATCATATTGATGAAAACAAAGAACCAAATCTGATACAAGAACAAAATGATCAAATATTAAAGACACGTGAAATGAAATCAACAGGAACTACTTCAAATATAAGTTGTCCGATAAACAAACGAAATAATTCATCCACTTCTGAATCAGAGATTGATTCCACGAAGAAATCAGCCAAACATTTGCGACGAAAAAGAGCCAGACGATGCTTATCCAAAAAGCTAAATTCTGAAGAATATGAGACAAGCAGTACAAGTTCAGCATATTCTGAAACTGAATTGAACATTCTTGAAAGTTCAGAAAGTAACAAAATGTCACACAAAGGAATTAAAGGCTTTGAGGAAACAAGGGAAAACTTACAACAGAAAAATGAAGCATTTGATGGAATCGACACTGAAAAAGTTTTTGATCGAAATGATATTAGTCATTCAAAAACATTAAAGATTGAAGCAAATAGACGACTACCTGAAAACTTGAGAGGTTTAAGAAACAATGCACAAGATTTTAGCAAAAGTCTTTCAAAGATTAAAGCTACTTCAGAAAAGTTTCTATATCGTGACAAGAGCAAATTTCAAGTCTATCCTACTCAACCATTATATCAATCTCATATTAACAGCCAACATCTAATTTTTGATAATCAATATCAGAATTCACTATTTAATCAATGGAACTTTTTTCAACTTTATGAACCTCGACCAAATTTCTTCGTTCATCCTCATCCAACTGGAGTTTATAAAGATATTGCTGATAAAAATGAAAGTTTTAATCAAATTTATTTAAATCATGATGAATCTCATCGAAATCAAAATGAACAAAATATTAACCAAAATCATCACAATTTGAATGAAAGTCACATCAATTTAACAAAACTTTATGCTGCAAATGAACAAAAAATTCACACAAAACTTTTTCAAAATCCCACAGAAACTCATCAAGAATTAACTCAAGCTCTCCATAACCTTAATCAGTTATATATAAATTACAATAAACCACTCATCCAGCCACTTTCGATTCCCATTCAATCTCCATCGACTGCAAATATTTTCAAATGTGACAATTGTTCAAAAATATTCAAATCCATTGTGCGACTCGAAAATCACATCGAAAAGCATCACAGTAGGAAGTTAGCACATAAATGCAAATATTGTCGGTCATCGTTTAAAAGGAAAAGTAAATTACTGAATCATCAGCATAAATCCCATTCCGAAATATTTTCGTCTAGCAAAAAGTCGTCAGTATTTCATAATGTTGAATTGTTGGCACAAAGTGATTGTCATCGGAATTAGTGGAAATATTTTAATGAGTTTAACATTGCTGCTAGCGAAATTGTTCATGACTATAATTTTTTTGCGACTATAAGAAATTAGAAAATGAAAATATTTTTTTTTTTGGACAAAAATACAATTTATCAGCTTTTATTTGAATTAAATTGCTAGTTTTAAAGCATTTATTTTGTAGTTGGTGCCATTTTGCAGATGTTTATGTTAAAGTAGGTCTTTTACTCATCAATTTTCACATACATATGTGATTATTCTTTATGACTATGTAATTATGCAGCCCAAGTGTTAAGAAAAATATTTGTTTGCCAAAAATTTCGCAAAAGTATGTGATTTTAACGGACATTCCAAATAATTTTTCAGGCTGTTTTTAATTAACAGTAATTTTTGTTTTGTATTGAAATCAGCTCACATGATTGACACAAAAATATTTTTTATTACTTTGCGAAATTTCTTCATCTTAATGATGTTTGTGGAAAGTTAAACCTCCAAAAATGTCATTTGAATGTTTGAGGCTAAGAATAAATCGTTTAAAAAATAACATCATTATGCATTATTAAGAACTTCCTTTCATTAAAAGAGAAAATAAAGCATGCTGAAATTGGGCAAATCAGTTATTTTTTATGAAAATATTTCTGTAAGCTATGAAGTATAAAAACTTGCAAATTAAGTCTTATAAAAATTAAAATAATAATGTCACAAAGATCCAGTGTTCCTGAAATACTAAGCTATATTTCTTATCATCCGTTCTTGCTAAACTTACGTACATCAATCATAATAAGCTTATCGCCTTTCAACAGTTCAGATCTTTAATATGACAATTAAAATTTAACGCCTCTAGTGTCTTAAATAAATTATATCGCTGATTCCCTATCGACTATAATAATGTAATCTTTCAAGATCTTATCAGTATCTCCAAGCTAGTCGAATCTCATCACTTCCCTCTGCAACAAGCATCTTCAGCAACCGCAAGGTCTTAGAACTTTTACCATTTAAATAGCAAAATGCATAATTTTCATTTTCAAGCATAAATTTTATGCTTCTTTTTATTCACATGTACCTTCATATTTTTATTCAACAGCAACAAGACACAAACAGGTTGATTAAAAATGTATTCAACAATTAATCGACTGTGGAATTCAATCACAATAAACGTCCAATTAAAAATAAATCTTTACTAGTCTTCGAATGAATTCTAACATTTTTTTTTCAATTTTCATAAATCAGCACTTACATAACAAGCTTCAACATCAATAATTTATAATTTATTGAATTTCATCACCATTTGAGTCTTATCAGTTTTGCTATTTTATTATTTATTCGATCAATGACTGCTGTTTAAGTTGGATGAGTATCACTATGTATGATGCTATAACGCTAAATGCCTGAAAAGAATTTCTTGAATAATATGAGTATATAAAAATATTTAAAAGCTCATTTTTGACAGTGAAATTAAAACTTAGAAAATTGAAAATAAAAATCAATAAATTGAACTGAATTAGATGGAGTCAGAAATATAGTCTTTAGAACGGGAGTCTGAAAATGGAAGTCCCGTAGTGTCATCAAACCCCAAAAATTCTTTGATTTGCTAAAGTTCTTTGTGAAAATTAAAGTAAAGCATGGAGATGGCACAGCCTTTTTTTTTGAGCTGGAGGCTCTGCGATTCAAATTTGAATAGAATCTATTGTACCAAATCCTTTAGCCCTATAGTTTATGGTGGAATCCGAACCACTTGCAAGCACTTCACACTAGAAAGACTCGTGTGCGTCTAAAGACCTGATGTACCCTGCAATGTACCCAGTAACAATTCGTGTGCGCAAGATGCTGTGATGAAATCATCCAGATGCTTGTATATCCTAGTATACCTAGCAAAGGAGACACGTTATGTGCCAAAGATCAGAAAACTAAACCCAACACACGAACCGAGCTTCGGAACTAGAACGGTGAAATAGAAATAGAGCTTTTAAAACTTGACTTGACCTGGGATTGAACCCAAAACATTTGGCACGTAAGGTCAACGCTCTACTACTTAGACCACTGATACCATTTCACCGTTAATGATTAGCTTGGTAAATAAACAATATCTAATCCAGTAAATCAACAATAACTATTCAAAAATAAACAAAGCATCAAAATTACCTTTGCTAATGAATAAACCAATTTATGAGATTACCATAATAATAAAATAAATCATTGCATATATCATTTACCGAAAACAGAAGTCGATAGTCAATGAAGAAGAAATTACAAGCAGAATAAACAAAGCGCTGATGGTAATTAATTTGCATTGTAAATTCTTTAATTTGCAAGTAAGATATCCCCGATGTAATTTGATTAAGATGTTGATAAATATTACTCGCCTTTTTCATGCAAGGAGAGAAGAGAAACGAGACAGAATTGGACATGGAAATAAAAATTATTGCTTAAGGTAAGACATAAAAAATTCATATTAATATTTTCATTACCAATTTATCACTCGTGCAGCATGTGTGTACTATAACGATATATACGATGAATATATGTCCCATGCTTTGAAAAGGATCGGCTAAAGCGACGAGTGACATGTTTCTTGCGTTTGCAATTATTGTCGTGTAAATATTATATCCACCGGTTATAAAAGCGCTGATTGTATTCAAAAGAATCGTCAATCCAAAATATTCATTTACTATCACGTGGAGTCGCCAAATTTTCACATATAATTCACGATAATTTTCAATTGTCAAGTAAATTTGTGACTTTGTTGAAGCTAAATACATGTTTGATCCATCATTGTTTTTAGCCAATTTATTTTTTATGCTCACAATAAGATTATCGAGGTGCTTTAATCTTTCATTTATAATGCTTACACAAACAATAAATTGAATGAGCCGAAGGTATTTCATTAGCTGGATTATCCCGCCTAGTACTCTAGCGAATTAAAAAAGGGAGTTACTAGTTAATTGAATTTGAAAGTGAAAATTTAATTTGTTTGGATTAGGCACGTTTTATTTGATTAATTTAAAGATGGATATGAATGAGCTTTGGCAGATGGATTCAAAATTTTAGCATCTTATTATTTTATTGTCAAATTTTAAGTCCATCAGCAGTAAACAGAACAGTATGTTTTTACAATTTCGTCTGCTTATAAACAGCAAGAAGAACATAATCATGCTCAAAAGAAAGCACATATTCCATTTCCCCAGATTTCATCCTCAAAACTTCCAAATCAGCTTCTGCCAAGTCATTTATGATTTCTTTTGCTTTTTTTGCTAATTGAAGTGATATGTATGCATAGTGATTGATGGTTTCTTCATCCATAATATTGTATGACTTAATGACAATTCCTTCATGAGAAATCACCAAAACCCCTTGAACGCCTTCATGTCTAGCAATTTGACTTAATCGAGCGTTGACTTCGAGAGACATTTCTTGAAATTATTGGATGTTGATGAATTTGCGATGTTTGAGTACAAATTGGATAAACTTTAGTGACTTTGCTAATTTTTTTGATTAACTTGAAATGTCGAATGATTTTTTTAAAAGTGAAATGATTTTGTTGGTTTGAGATTACTGAGATATTTTTGAACAACAAGATATAAGTTTTAATAAGTTCTCTGCAAAACTTCATCTCACGTGCACATTACTTCCATTCATCACGCACATTTAAATTAATTTTAAAACACTTTTAATCTCATAAAAATCTTCAATTAAATTGATTAATCTCCTTAAACTCTTTTATTGTTCAATAATAATCCATCGGATAAGCTAGCATTAGAATCGATAGTCATGCAATTATTATGATAGCTGTTTAAGTTATTAACCAGAATTAGCAATAATAATTATTATTTTTCATGCAAAATGAGCATTAATTGAAATTCAATCTTTATCTTTATGCCTCTTCTTGGAAGCTGCTGCTGTGCTGATAGCTTCGTTGAGATTTATGATGTGTGAGGTGTTAAATTCAACCGTTTTAAGTTTAGACTTATGAATAAGCATATACCATGAATTTTTCATAAAATTTCAAACGATTAAGCAGATAATTGAAGTAAACTCAAACTTCGAATTCAGGATTTAAGTTGAGAACTCTTAAATAAAGCAACAAACCATAAAGACTTACCTATTACAAGGTATTGTGCAATAAACCGTACATCTTATGAAAATAATGATAATCTGAATCATTATCACAAATACAATAAATAATCCTTTCCCAATAATTCTCAATGACAGCATCTGCTGGCTAACCTCGCCTCTCATTCGATTTGCTTCCTCGAGAAATTCCAAACATTTTCCATAATACAAGAATGTCTCGATAATGCTAATCAACGGTACAACACATGAAGGAATTGTAAACAAAATATTCCCAATCGACTCGATCTCAAAATGTAAAAAGATCAGAATTAAAGTGACAAAAAAATTTATAATTAAATATGCGGAAAAAAGTTTCATGATTCGCTTGTAATCTGACCGCTTATTTGTGAGTTTTAATCTCATTATGAATTTCGCTAATTCGTTCAACGCGGTTGTAATCTAAAGACTAAATTGCTTACAACGGAAAATTCTCATTTGCTTGCTAAATATTTTGTAATTATACAATTAGCTTTTATTGAAATTAAAAAAGAAATGCTCATATCAAGATAAACAGCACCGTAATATTCCCATGCCATAACGCACTCCGTTTCTCTTTCGTTAATCGCTCTAAATCGATTATAAAATACCGTAATTTGTTTAATTCTTTAATGTTACAATGTATGAAATAAATATACATAAATAGTAGGCACGAGGAGCTGCATTACACTGCATTACACGAACGATCACAGCCAAAATCTTTCATGTAAAGTGTAAAAATGTAAATTTAAATATTCTCACGTTTATTTATTATGGTCGAATGAGATAAACATAGTTTGTAGCTAGCAATTTGCAGGGACTTGAAAGTTTCATGGAAACTAAACTATACATGTCATTCTCAGGTCGATCTTGACCATCCTTTTGAAGATATCTTTTAATACTTTATTCGTTTTTTAATGGTTCTTAATGAGAATATTTGCAGGAATATTTTGTGATACTCAAGAGGATGAGTAAAGTCAAGGGGGGGGGGGGGGGGGTCTATGACAATATCCCACGATATTGAACTTTATAATTCTTGATCCCATCCCATCTATGGTGTCGGATCTCTTCCTTGGATAATTTCTGGCTATCCTCTTGTTTTGTGACTTTTGAAATTCATTGCATATCCAAAATCCCTGACAATTAGCTTAAATATCGGATATATTTAAAAACGAATAAAATAAAGAAAACAGAATCGCTTGAAGGTAGAAATGTATAGCTTTAGAAAAAAAAAACTCACATTCTTAGTGTCTCATGATAATTTCTCGTTGTTTTACATGAAATAAATTTTAGACCATACTTAACGTATTTCCTCTCCAACTACGAAAAAAACGTGAATAAATTATTTATTTCTATTTTTTAAGCTAAAATGTATAAGAAATAAAAAAAAATATTGTAGAAGTGATGAGCTGTTGATAAGAGAGCATTCACATTGTGTTATTTTTAATTGAAAGCATTGTTGGCACTGTATTCTATACTTTGATATCATCATCGTCATCACCATCATCTGGCGTGCGAGCTTCGTTATTCGCAAAAAAAAGCTACACTTCTGTCGCATTTTAATCTCAAATACTATATCAAATGCTGCCTATGCTAGTGGTGGCATAAACTGTAATGCAAAAAAAAATTGTATAGAACCAACAACCTGTGTGACAATCTTCTAAGCTTAAAGTATAGCAGTTTTAAAGACCTTTTTAGTAGGAAAAAAAATATCACACGAAAAATAATTACAACAATCATAAAATTTTATTTGATGAACAATTCTTGGAAGTCAATTTTTATTCACTTCCTCATTTGCACAATAAACGCTATTTTATAATATTTATCAACAGCACATAAAATTTAAAGACCAAGATCTCGGTAGTAAGACTCTTTGAAATATACTTTTGAACAATAACCTTTATTTTATAAGTTTACTAGAATTGTAGTTTAAGTTTAAGCATGGAAGTTGATATAAAATTTGATAAACGTTCCTCTTTGTAATGGGACCCTTACGCTGCCTATGACACTACTCTTGATCCTGAACAGCACAAGTCAAAAAATCGAGACGATATCCTACGCTAGACGATGCAGGGATGATCGTCTTGACATAGGAATTCCTCTCGATCATACGACTTGTGCTACTCAAGGATGTTTCATTTCTATTTCTGTTCAGAACACAAGCAATTAATGTTGCATTAACAGGAAGTTTTGTCTGTTTCTGGTCCTTTATACCTTTAGTGTAAGATTATATCCTACGTAGCTCAATAGCATTATGTAATATCAGAACTCTAATTTAAATCTGTGAAGTAACAAGCATTGAAAACTATACAACATGCCAATAGTACATTTAACAACATTAGTGATGAGGTGGAAAAAACAAACAAACATTTCGCTAGAAATCAACCAACCTCTTACCAAAAGCCAGTTGCTCGCGATCACGAAAGGTTCTGTGCTCGTTCTTATATGCTCTGTTATATGAAATAGAAAACACAAACAAAAGTGAATATTTGAGATCAATCTCAAAATTGCCAATAATGTCGTTTTCTATTCAACATAAGAACTGTTTCTTGTGCTGCATGTTACAGCATATTCGCCATTCTCATGCAACGGATTTTTATTTTGCCTATATCTTCTCTCCTTCTTCTCCTTTTCGATCAATTGCAATATGAATGAGAATAAAATTTAATGACAAAGTCATGTTCTATTCAGCGCAATTTTTTTTTACCCGATATACATAAATTTTTCTTGTGTTTTGTTTGGATATGCCTCTGAGCTTTAATTCTGAATAGAAATTTTTGAATTCTTTTATCAAGATAGAGTCGAATATACATAAAGTTCATAAACATTCTTAACTTTTCAACCATTACATAATCATTGTCATATCGTAGGTATGGAATCTGTGTATCATTTCGAACAAAACATGTCATTGTAATGTAAATTAGGTGCATAAATGTAATGTAATTACATTCTAATGGATGATTTTAAAAGTTGATATTCGATGAATATTGACAAAGTTTCAGAATGATTCGGGACATCGTGTTGAATAGGTTTAGCTAGATAACTAGATTTTCTGATAGCTATAGTTAAGTTACAAATCCCAAAAAGGTAAAGTTTCATTTTAAACGATCTTTTTTATGAAATTTACATGATAAGCAGCTTTAAAGACTCTCTTTCCATCGTCTTCCAAAAACTGTTTTGATGACCTTGTAATTTTCATGACAACTCTTCTTCATCCATATTTCTCAGCCGAGTTGTTCCATTTTCCACTTTAATTTATATAAATGGACATGGATGGACAAATTCATTGAATAAAATGCTATTAAGTCTTATCAAATCATCATAAAGAGCTGAATTTTTATAAATCTGCGAACAATTCATCATTTGACAAATAAGAATCATTCTGTAATCCATCCCTAGTAACCAAAATGTTCCATATAATCTTCCTTCGACGTCGATGGAAGATCAAATGTATCATTATTTATTATATGGAAAATATTTGTTTTACAAATATGTAACAGAAGTGTTCCATCGAAGTATTACCCGAGCCTGCTTAGGATCAAATCCTATGAAATATCATCAAAAAAATATTTTTTTTGCAGGAAAATAATATTTGTTCTAAATTTGGCATTTGCCATATACTTCACAATTGCTCGCAGAAATCACTATTATAAGTTCTCTCTAAATCTTTATGGGGCTTTCAATTAATTATTTATCTTCCTCATGTTTATGTGCGAGTCTTGGTCGTTCATCAGTATGCGACTTAATTAAATTAAGTCTTTTTGTTCTTTTTCATAGTGTTAGTGTACTTTAATTAAGTACACACTAATACTTTTACAAAAAATTACACAAATAAATGAAAAATACAAAATAACACGTGGAATTTAGCACGTGTTTTTATCCAAAAAAAAGTAATCCATTTGTTTTCCATTTGTATTCCTTTGATGTATTACATTGATGTCTTATTGAATTGTCCATTTATCTTCCATTTTCATAGGACATCATCTTCCGATGGATAATACATGGATAATACATATGTATCATCCATGGAAGATTCTCATGGAATACATTGATCTACCTTTTGGTTACTATAAACAGGTGACAGTGACCTTTCAAGTTCAAATCTCATTCCACCGTCTTGATTAATTCTACAATATGGATTCTTACATACAGACGATGAGTTGCACTCATTTTTTGTCAAATCATCTCGAAGTTTTAAGAAAGATTCCTCAGGCAATGACGATAATGATGACATAATAAAATCAGAAATGACAAGAAAATGACTAAAAGTAGTCGACTTCATTGCTGTATTACCACTGCGATCATTTTTAGAATTTATATTTTCAACCCTAGTAGCAATTACCTTAAATTATTATTTCCAATTACCGAGTGCCCGAAAAAAATGCTTTTAAATTTTCATGGAATTTATTCAATGTGTGTTGTTGAGGTCAAC